AACAACCACCTCCACTGTACGATAATTGCACTTTTGTACTTTTTATGGCATTTAAGCCATGAAGGCATGAAGATAGGGTGTAAAGAGTCAGCTTGGCACAATGCAGCTATGCCCCAGCATAAGGCAACACAAGGGGTGCACCCACAGCCCCAGATGTGGGGGGACAGGGGCTCAGCTTAGAGCAGCACATCCTATAGGGACACCTGGCAGCTCCAAGTTGTTACCATCACACTGGGGTCTCTACAGAGAGCTTATTCTGATGAAGAGCATTGCTTCCCTTTCCTGAGTCAAGCAGGCTGCTGGTTTTGCTGTCTCTAGATGCAAATCTGACTCCTCTGCAGCTGTGGGGATGGCGGTTGGGGGGGGATGTGGGATGGCTGTCCTCACCAGCACAGCCCCAGACACCCTCCTCCTCCCTGCCTCGAACTGGAGGACTCACTGAGAATCAAAGGCAAAACCCCTCAGAACAGATTCACCAGAATTTGGAAAAGGAAAAAAAAATTCAGATCTTGGGAGACAATAAATAAGAAAAGCACCAAAGGGGCTTCCCTCTTTGGTGTATTTGGGGCAGCTTGGTGTGCACTGTTACCACCACTAGAAGAAATGGGGCTGGAGGCACCCACTGCCCCTTTGGGCAGATCCTCCCCATTCCCAGCTCAGCCTTTCCTCTATTTTGGGGGACCTTTTTCCCCACCTCTGCCTGCAGCCATGAGCCCCTCAACACATGGGCTGCTGGAGTACAACCTCACACCCCCAACCCCCCCCTCCTGGGTCACCAACACCTCCACCAACACCTCGCTCAGGCACAGAGAAGGGGCAGGAAGGAGGGTTTTCACCCCCCTGCAGACTACAAGCTTTCCATTTCGCAGCTGAGAGCGCGTGGCTGGGCTGCAGCTCAGCCTGACGTCGCACACAGGGGACAGGCAGGGAAGGGAAACCCTCAGCCAGGCTCTTGAGAACATCAAAGAAAAACCCAGCGTTCTTGGAAATGGCTCAGAAACGTGGGAGGTGAGAAGCTACGGGCGTGTGGGGAGCTGGGGCTGAGGCTGCAGCCCATCCCTTGTGTTCAGAGCTGTCAGTGCACACATCCAGCATGGCCCCACAGTGTACTGGGGTCAGTAGGATGAGGGAGCCCCACGTGTTGCCCTGCCTGTCCTCGCTTTTCTTCCCATCAGTGCAGGAGAAGAGAGCATGAAGCTGCAGAGCAAAAAGCACATGGGTGCCCAGGGTGGATGGAGCACCCTGCTCCATCCCTATGTGCTTTTTGCTGGGGGAGGGGTTAAATAAAATAATAATAATAATAATAAATACAACACATCTCCATCCCCCAGCTTCTCCTGACCTTCTACCAAGTGGTCCAGCATTCAGCAGGGAAGCAGAGGGCTCTGAGCATCCCCACCTCTCCAGCACCCACAGCCTGAGGGTGGGTGTGCTCCTGGTGACACAGCTGCACACGTGTGTTCTGCCCAACAGGGCTATGGGTGGGTGATCCACTCTGCTTGGGTTCTCCTCACCATGGTGGTCAGGATGGGGTAGGAAGGGAAAGCATGGGGTTAAGGGCTGAAAGTGCTGTAAAAAGCTGGGGAATGGGTGTTAAGAAAAAGTAAACAGCAGCAAAAAAATAAAATAAAATAAAATAAAATAAAATAAAATAAAATAAAATAAAATAAAATAAAATAAAATAAAATAAAATAAAATAAAATTAGAAAAGACACTGGAAGGAAGAAAGCAGGAGCTTGCAAAGAGTTCCCAGGAGATGGGCAGGAGAGGGGAGGAGAGGAGGAAGTGGAAAGGTTTGGCAAGAAGTGACAGCGAGGAGGAGGACAGAGCTGGAGGAAGGGGAAAGGGAAGGCAGCCAACAGAGAGGTGTGAGGGGAGGCCCTGGAGATGCTCTCATTTATCCAGGAATAGACTAAACAGCCCTGCATAGCTCCCAGCTATTCCTTCCTCCACATTCTGCCTCCTGTGGGTGGGAGAGCCTCTGCACGAGGACTGCAGTGCAGCAAAGTCAGGTTGCTGCTCAATGGAGAGCTGCAGAGAGGGGGGGGGAGGGAAGGAAATTCCACAGGAAGCTCAAATATTTTATTACTTCCTGTTTGCACAGAGTATGTCAACACTCGGCACCTGACACGCCATTTGTTTAGAGCTAAGGTGTCAACTCCAAAAAAATAAAGATGTCCTCTGCAGATCAAACCCACAGCAAAGCAGGGTGCAAGAGAAAGAATGGAGCAAAGGCAGCGGGGCCAAGGCAGCGCTGGGAGTTCATAGGACTCTGTGGGCTCAGAGGTGTGGGTCCCAGCACCCAGCCTGGTGCCCCCCAGCCCTGCCATGAGCTCCAGCTGCAGCCTGGTTTGCCATCATTTCTCACCCAACTCAACTTGATCTCCAACTCCTCAGATGTTTTCTGGGCACAGCTTTAGTGAAAAGAGTTGCTCAAGGGCTGAGATGAAGCGATGGGACAGGGGTGGAAGATGAATGGGAAGCTCAGAGGTGGGGCACGGAGAGGAGTCACGGTTCTGGCCAAAAACCCCACGAGAACATTTGCTGGAAGAATTTCACTGCATCTGAGAAGATGATGCCCAGGGCTTTCCCAGGATCCCAAGACAAATGGCCAATTCTTTCCATATGAAGGATGCTTTTCTGCACGGTCACACCAACCCCTCCCCAGTCCCAACGCTGCTCCTGCACCCAACGTCCACGTCCCTCTCATTTGTGACACTGCTGCCAAGAAGGGCCAAAAAGCACATTGTCACCTATATGCACATTGCACATCTACACAGATACACTCATCTATGAAGTACCTGCACCACACAAATAACCACAAGCCCTGCTGGCTGCTCTCACCTCCCAAAGCTGAGCAGGGAGGGCAATGGAAGCCTTGGTGCTCAGCCAAAGCCCTGGGGCTCCTCCAGGTGAGCAGTGCTGAGCAGAGGGTGCTGTGCCAGAGCCCCCCAGTGGCAGCCGGGCCAGAAAACCACCTCTGACATCTCCAGCCCAAACCACTCTGCAGGCAGCAGTTCCACATCGCTGATCTGCACACGGATGGATGGGGAGGAAGGGAGGGGCAAAAGGATTTTTTGTTTTAGTTTTAGTGGCAGGTTCATTCAAAAATGCAAAGCAATGAGTATAATGAAAGGAGAAAACTACCCCCCCATCTCCCCACCATGGACTGGATTTTCACCAAACATGGCTCAAATCGAGCATAGGTGAATTCCCTTTTCTGCCTACAAGTTTACAGTCTTCTGAAAAGGAGACCAAAAAAAGCCCTACAAAAGACAACATAGGCCTAAACTGCTCAGGTCATCAATCTGTGGGGGCACAGGGATGGGGTCCTGTGCAGACTGAGCTCATGGGGGCACCCAGCCCATGGTGGGGGCTGGAACTGGGTGGTCTCTACAGTCAACTCCAACCTCAGCCACTCTATGCAATTAACCCACAAGACAAAAGCACAACCGACACGTGAACACCACGCAGACCTCCTTAAGGAGCCGACATCTCCAGCACAGGTATGCAGATCAGAAAAAGCCAAAAGCACAGCAGCAAAGCGCTGACCTTGCATCCCAGGACAGCATCCCTCGGGCAAACCAAGCGAGAGGCAGGGCAGGCTGCTCCATGGCAGGTTTTGGCTAATTGTGCCAAACGAAGGCATGGCACCAACGCAAACAGAGCCGGGAGAGCTTGCCCACAGCTCAAAACCCACAGCTCAAACCCACAGCTCCTGCCCAGTGTGCCTCCATATCAGAGCCTTTAAATTAAAGATCGGCGGCGGCTGGCCCGTGTGTTGAAATGCAGGAGGAGGAGCAGCTGTGATTCAGCTGGGGTTTGGTGAGCGCGGAGTATCGGTGAAATCAGAGCAAACCAAACGCTAAGAGTAGTAACTATCTCGCCGTGTATTATTATTTATATATTCCCTGTGATGGTGATGATGATTATTATTATTAGAAAGGCAATCTGATGCAGCAGATAAGGGGCTGAGCAGGAGTCAGGAGGCCTGCTTGGTTTCTATTCCTGAGCTGGAGGTGTTGTGCAATTCCACACCGCCTGTCCTCGGGTTCTACAGCACCCACCACGACCTGCAATACCCTCCACCTGCAGGGCTGTGCTTTGGTTCTAAGAACCAACCGACCCAAAACCAGCAGCGCTGCGCATCCTGGGTGCCAGCTTTGCAAACAAGCATCTCAACCCTGCAGGCTCACAACGGACCCCCCAACACCCCAGGCTCCAAAATTAAAAACGAGCAAAGACAAAAATAATTAAAAGAAAGAAAAAGAAAGAAAAAGGAGAGAAAAAAAAATCAAGAAGCAGCAATGCAAATAAAACCCTCTTACAGAGGGAACAGCCTCAACCTGGCCTGACATCAAGGGGTGCCGATGGCCCAGTGACAGCATCAACAGAAAATGTTTTCTGAAGCATGTTTAGAAGGGATCAAACTGCTTCCCTTCCATTTGGGCACCGACAGCTTTACACGCAAAGTGAATAAACTGTGCTTTATGTCCCCGGGGTGGTGCTGGGTGAGCAGGAGGTTGGCGGGGCCAGGATGAGGGCACACAGAGTGCTGCTCACTCCCAACCCCTCTGAGAGTGGGGAGCTCCAACCACCCCGACCCCACAAATGGAACACAGAGCCCCACTGCCTGCACCCCAATCACACAGAGGGGTGGTTCTGCAGTTGAGCTGCCTGCTTGGTTTTTCTCATTCTCCACCAGGCTGCCAGGCTGTGCAACCCGAAAGTAAAACTGGCAGCGAGCAGCAGATGCCCCACAGACAGGCAGGAGACACGGGGCAGCCTGTGGGATTGGGGAGCAGCAATTCCACCTCAACACCCCCAATCTGCAACACCCTGCACACCCCCAGTGCACCAGCACCTCGTTAGCTCCATGCTGCTAACGAAGCTGTGTCCTTCCCCTATGAATGAGGAGAGCTCAGGCTGCTGGCAACCCAATCCCTCCTGCTGTTGGGACCCCCAAATCCCTCCCATGCCAAACAAAGCACAGAACTCACGTCGTGGCTCCCGGGGTCCATCTACAGTGACTTTAATGGCTCGGTGGTACGTAGCGACCTGGGTGGGGTTGGTGAACACTGTGATCGTCAGGGTGAAGCTTTTTCCTAAGCAAAGGTAAAGGGAAAAATAAGAAAAGAGGACATTCGCGTGGGTTTGGTTCCTTTGAAAGCAAATCACTCCTGCTGGAGCGTGCTCAGACATAAATATTCACATACACCAAACTCCAACACTCATAATTTCGTTTCAGGGATGTTATTGCTGAGCTACAAAGCTTGGCTGGCTCTGCCAGGGTTCCACGGCTGCAACAAAGAGGACTGGACTGGCTTAGAACAGCCCTGACCTTCCTGGACAGCCCTTTGTCCCCATATCAATCCTCCCACCCACAGCAGCCTACCAGTGCCTCCCCACCCAGACAATTCCTTTTTCCCCCCACAGGAATTCGGCCCCAAAACACAGCACTGGACACTGGACCCCCCTCCCCCCCCTCACTCCCCACCTTCCCCAGGGCCAGGTTTGGGTCCTGGTGCCCATGGAGCAATCTGCCAACAAGGCACCTTTGCATGTGTGACAGATGATGGGTAAAACCACACCAAGCTGCAGCATAAATGGGCACTGAACCCAGCCCAGCTTCACTCAGCCAGGAGCAGCCCCCCCCGTGTGACCCCCAGCCTAGGAGATGCTGTCCCTGTGCCCCTCTCTCCATCCCCATGCAGGCAGGGAGCAGGAACCTGCTGCCAGGAGACATTCCACACATCATCATAGGGGGCTGCAGTGATGCTATTCAAGCACCAAGCTCGTTACTTTCATTATTAAAAAGATAATAATGATGGGGAAAAAAAATACATAAATGGGAGGAGGCAAGGAATAAATGCTCTCTAAAGCCAGGTTCGGGAGCACAGCCCCAGCAGAATGAGAGGGGATGGGAAGATAGCAGCAGCCATACGCCCCCCACCCTGCCCTGCTCCCACCCTGTGCACCTTACAGCACCTGCAGCCCTCTGGGTCCACGGGGGCTGCAAGGGAGCAGCTCAAGCTGAGCCCCCCCCCCCAAGCACCCACTGCAGGATCACGAAGGCATCGGGTGCTGCAGAGCTGAAGGGTGAGCAGAATTCACCCCAAAGAAGCCACGCATCGCCCTCAGCCCTGCAGGGAGAGCCTCCCCCGCTCCATCTTCCCCTGGTTCAGGTTTCTCAGATCCCAGCCACCGTTTGAAGCTAAGGATGGACCCGAGAACACCCACAGCAAAAAATAATAATAATAATAATAATAAAGGCTATTCATATAGCTAGAAGGAGATAATAATAATAATCAATAATAATAATTTCTCCTTCAATCTATTCTTATTATTATCGTCTTGAGAACACTCAGCAGAAGCGGCTCTGCAAAAATCCCAACCCGCAGAACAGCACCAAGCAGCGCCTTCAGCTCATTCTCTACATAAGGAGGAATTGTGTGTCGTCGTCCCCCAAATTTCCCCCTTCCCCCCTCATTTCAGACGCGCTCCGCAGCCCCACCGGAGCGCCGGGATCCGCACAAACCGCGTCCGCAAAAAAGCCGACGGGAGCGGAGCTGTGGAACCCGAGCGTAAAGGTAAGGGTTATTAAGGAACATGATTTTAGGAGGTATTTCCACGTGGAGAAAGGCATCGGTTCGTTGCGAGTCCCCGAGCAGAGCTGCAGCTCCGTGCTGGTTCTGCCGGCTCGGATTTATTTATTATTCCTTTTTATTTTTGGTTGTTGCCGTTAAATGGATGCTCCTCCAGGTGATCTTTTCCCCGCATTTTTTGCGTCCTCTCACACAACCACGGCCGCGACCCTCCTGCCTCTCTACCGGCTCTCAAAAATCCCTCCCACGAATTGAAAACGACCATTATTACTCAGCACCGTTTTGAACTCATTTCTCTCCTTCTCGGGAAACCCGGGCTGACGTTCCTCCTCCTCCTCCTCCTCCACCTCCATTCACCGCTCCCGGCCCCGACGGCCGCTTCCAGCTCCGTCCCGCACCCCGGCCCCTCAATGGGGCTCCCCGGGGGGCACCGCACCCCCCCATCCCCCTCCTCTAACCCCGGCTTTCGTTTGGACACCGCCGTACGAGCAGCAAGGCAGGCTGTTGGAGCACAGCGAACACCCCCCCCCACCCCCCCAAGTGCTCGAGGTCCCTTCCTTTTGTTCTACAGATGCAGATGGCGATGGGGAGGGGAAGGATCTGCTCCTGCTTCTGCCCCCGGTGCGAACACAACGCCCAGAACCGTTCAAAGTTCGCAAATCGAGAACCTCCCGGGGCCGATTTGAGGGCACAGAACTCGCTGTGACCCCCTGGGCGTTTTCACACACAGTATTTACACGAACGGACACACAGAGCTCTGCTCCAACAAAACACCGGGCATTAAATTCCATCGATAGAAACAAAGCCGGAGCCGGGCTTGTAGGAATGAAACAGGAAGGTAAGAGCGGCAACCGGGATAAAAACCCAACCAGAACGATTCTGAGCATTAAATACCCCTCAGAGCCCCTCGGTTACAGGGGGAGCACAGCCCAACCACCGACCGAAATAAGGGAAGAAAACAGCCCCGATCTTTGCTCCTTCTCAAGGTGCAATGAGGACCAGAGGGAGGAAGGAAGGAGAGATGTGGAAACTGCTTGCTTCCAACACGGCACAGCAGAGCAGGAAAGTTCCCAATGCAACCAAAGGCAGAGCCGAGGTTGGGTTGAGTTTGGAAATTCGGGGAAGAAAAAAAAAGAAAAGAAACAACAACAAAAAAACAGAAAGAAAAGAGCCGAAGGGAATAATTGATTGCAGAAATGAAAGCTTAATTCATAAAAGAAAAAACATTTTCCGCCCATCAACCTGCAAGCAGTTAAGCGGGGAGTTTTTAAAGAAACGGCAACTTGGAGAAGGAGCCAACAGGAAAAAGGAAATGTATGAAAGAATGTAAACTATTCAAGTTTCATAAAGAGGAACAAGTAAACAGTTATTACATGCAAATAATTCCTAACATCACTGCTTTTAATTAATGCAGAGAAGTCAAAATATATCCGACGTCGTATGCGTACATCCAGAGATGGAGAAAATGCTACCAGATGGCCATTAATGTGTAGCATTCTGCTTTTTTTTTTTTCCTTTTCGGAGTGAATTAAGTGGCTCAGTCTGCAGCCTTTATTGGTGATGAAATGCTGAAATGCTATTGACGCTGTCGGGAATTCAGGTAGGACGCGGCTGGGAGGGGGGAAGGATTTCCTTCCAGCTGTTTGCAGGGGATTCGTCCTGCTCTGGAGATGGCACAGATTCATTTCCTGGATGGTTCGCTGTCACAAACCATTCCTTGAGATCGGTGCGGGGCTGAGCGACAGAGCCGGAAGGTAACATCGCCCTTCTGCTTTCCCATACAGCACGGGGAAAACAAGTGCGCCTCTCCCGCCCGGCTCCCGCATCTCCCACGGCGTTAAGAACGGATCTCCCCGCAACCCCACCCGCAGGACACCGCTCTTCCCAGGAGAACCGCACCGCCCCGTTTCCATCAGCCAACAACGAGTCTCCCCCTCTTCCGACACCGCACCGCATCTCCCTCAATACCGCAGCACTGAGATCGGGGCTTTCAGCCCCGCACCGGCCAGGGGCTGCTTTAATACACGCAAGCTTCGCAGTGAGGTTTTTTTCTTGCCCCTTCCCCCACCCGAACATCTCAGGGAGGAGCGGAGCACCGCCGCAGCCCCGAACGACCCATTGAGGAATCACTTCGGAGCCGGGGTTGGGGGGGGTTCCTCCCTGCACACCCCGCAGCAATACAGCCGCCTCCGTCGGTTTGCGAAAAAAAACGCCGTTAAATAAAAAAAATAGAGAGCTTTCTTTACCCCCTTTTCTTTCTTCCTTTTTTTTTCCCCCTGGAAGAAAATAAACCCCAAACAGGACGGCCGACACCTACCTCTGCCGCTTCTCCCGACAAATCGGAGGTCGTTAAATCTCGCCACTTGGTTTTTCATCACGGCGGAGGCGTTGCGGAGCTCCGCGGAGTAGTTCTCGTCGTTCCCCGCCATCACCGTCACCACCGTCCCATCGGGGACGTCTCCGAGAGCCACGACCTGAGGGCAGGACGAGGGGAATTCAGGCTGAGGTGACCGAGGTCTGAGCCGAACCGCTTCACGGCTCCCCTCCCCTCGAGATCGTCCCCAAACACAAAGCAAAACCAAAAGCAATTCGAGTTCCCGATGATAGATTAAAAAAAGAAAAGAAACGAAGGGGAAGGGACAAGCGAGCTTAGAATCGAGGTTTGAAAGCAGCGAGGGGCTCCAGAGTGCAGAGGCTCTGCCCTGCAGCAGCGAGGAGCCGCTGTCTGAGGAGGTTCGATTCGACAGAACTGCGCTGCAGAACTCGGGGCGCAGCGGAGGAACGCGACCAGGGCCGGGCCCAACGCTGCAGCCCCGCACTGCAGACCACCCCCCATCCCGCAGGGTCCCTCGGAACCGCCCCCAGCCCCGCTCCTCATCCCCGGCCCGGGCCGACCCGTCCCAACGCACCGCGATGCAGCCGCTGCGGCGCTTCGCCCTCCGCTCGCGGCTCGGCTCTCCCGTTCCTACCTTTCTCTCTCTCTCTCTCTCTCCCGGAAAGGTAATTAACCTCCGTTCTCATTACACTTCAAAGTTGCCTGAGAGCTCCTAACTGTACGAAATATCTTAGATGCCGTGACCGGAGGGCAACGCGGAGACTTGATTAAAAATAATAAGAGCGGCTCCCCTCAAGCTGATGTCAGGAGCGAGTTAAAGCGAGAAGGAGGGAAAGCGGCGAGAGAGGGGAGCGGCACCCGGAGCCCCGACCCCCCCCCCAAGAAGGTCGCCCCTTACCTTGAAGGCGACGGGCAGCGTCTTGTTGCACCTCCAGTGAGACGGCAGCACGGAGCACAAGAAGTTGGGGCTGTCGGTGCGCACCAATTCGCCGGCGTGATCCGCCAGCACGTCCACGACGGAGCGCACCTCGGGCCGCGCCCGACCGCCCGCGGCGGCGGCCCCCAGCGCCCCGCTGTTCTCTCCCATCTTACCGCAGGGGAACGCCGTGGAGGGGGGTGTGAAGCGCCTGCTGGTGCTCGGATCTACGGGAATACGCATCACAACGGAGGGCGTCAAGGAGCCGCCGCCGCGGCCGGGGGTTGCGAGGAGAGCGGCGGGGCTCGCCGCTAGCAACCGGGCCCCGTCCCGGTAGATCCCCACTCTCGGCGGGGCGGTGCAGGGGGCTGCTCGTTCCCGGCCCCGGGGAGCGCCTACGGCGGCCTCGCCGCTGTCCCGCCCGCCCCGTCCGGGGAACGGCAACGCGGAGCCCCGGCACAGCCACGTCGCGGCCGGGCTGTAGGCTGCTCCCCTCCGCCGGGCGGCCCCAACAGCAACTCCCAGTGCCACCGCGCCGCCCGGCACCGTATTTACTGCCGGCCCCGGTGGGGGGGCGGGCCGGCCGTGAGTGACGGGAAGCCTCACCAATGGGGGGCCTTCCCCCTGCTCCCCCGCCCGGCTCCCGGGAGGCAGGGGGGTGTGGGCAGCGCCGAAAGGGGCGTCGCCTCCCTTAAAGTGGGCCCGGCCTTACCGAGTCCCGCCCCGTCGGTGCGTACGGGCTGAGGGAGCGCACGTCGGGGTTTCAGGGGCCGCTCACCGGCCGCGCCCCCGCTGCAGCTCAGCCGTCGCGGGGCGGGGAGAGCCGCTATTCTCCGCCTCTGGACACCGTCTCCACTGTACGGCGGTCCCGGGGCGTCCGCAGCGCTCTGTGGGAGTGCGCACGGCCAGACCCTACCGCAGTCGTTAGTGGAGCGACCGCGTATTCGGGAACAAAACGGAGCCGTCGGTCTCTTCGTGGCAACGCCGAACCGGGAGGAGAAACGCGCCGGGGGCGGGTGGGGGGAGCCCCGGGGGGCGGCACGGAGCGTCTGCCCCTGTCTGGGGGGGTCCGGCGAGGCGGCCCGCGGCTGTGGGCACGTCGGGAGCGGTGCAGAACACAACTTCCCTTCTGTTATTTTTTTTTTTTCTTTTAAAACTTCTTTCCCTGAGCTCCTCCGTAAACGAATACAACGTTGTTCTCCCCAAACCGCAACGCGTGGAGGGGCCCGAGCCGCGCTCCCGTCCTGCAGAGCCGAGCCGAGGACGGGAACGAAAACAAAAATAACCCCGTGTTTGCTTTTTTCTGTTTGTTTGCCTTTTTTTTTTTTTTTTTTTTTAAGACGTTCTGTTAATAATAGGGAGCAGTGCGGGAGGAGCGGAGGTCCCCTCGCCCCGTTAAGCCCCGTCCCGCAGCTCTCCTGCCCTTTTTAGGGGAAAGCTCCCCGCGCACCGCTGCGCTCAGCGCTATTTTCTACCCCTGTTTACAGGCGGGGGGGGGGGGGAACGCTCTCCCTCCTCCCTCCCCTCGCGGAGCCCGGGGCACGTTACGGGAGGGCCGGTCTTGGCCGAAGTTCTGTTCCCCCCCGATCCCCGTGGGATTCCCCGGCGGTGGCACGGAGAGGGTGTGAGCGTGAGGGGGGGGCACACGGCGCCTGCGCAGTGCCCCGCGGGCGGGCAGCACTGCAGTGAGGCCGAAGCGCCGCTCGTTGGCGCCGCGGTTCCGCGACGGGGCGGGCGGAGGGGACAGCGGTCCGGCACGGGAAAACCCCCCGTTAGGCTCTCGCTGGCTACCGTTCACGTCTTACGGCCCTTAGGCGGTGGGACCGTGGTCCTGGGCTTCCCTCAGTCCTCCGTTCCCCTCCACACACCCGCAACGGGCCCATCCCGGGGCTGCGGGCGGAGAGGTGGCACGGAGGTTTCCCACCGGTTCTCCCTCACCGGAGCGGTCGGGCAAAGGGAGCAGACGGGACCGACGGAGCCGGTGCAGTGGGGCAAAGGGAGCATCGCTGCAGCGAAGCACAGTGCTGGGACAGCCCTGAGATCAGCACGATGCTCGGTTCCAGGTTTAGTGGCTTTACATTTCCTTCCTTTCCTGTCTCTTTTTTTCCTGTCCTGCTGGGAACCTGCCTTTAAAGTGGCTCCGCCTAAAAGCCCACATCCCTGCAGAGCACAACCCGTAGTGCGTCACCTCGGCCCCTTCCTCCCAGCCTGCTCCCCACCCGCTTCCCTTCCTCTACACAGCAGCCACCGAGTGAGAAGATGATCCATCCATGGGTGGCCAGGAAAGGCCTGAGCACCCGATGTGGGGCTGACGTGCTCACATAGGGCAGGGAGCTCGCATAGGGCAGCCCATGTCCTATGGGGCAGCCCCATCCCGCAGTGGGTCTCAGCCCTTCTGTACACCCCTGGGAAATCCTTGGGGGTTTCACAGCTGCTGGTGCGGTGACACACGGCTGTGCGCAGGGCTGGGTGAGCGTGCCCTCCCTAGAAGGCTCTTGCCTTTCATTAAACTTTATGCAAATGCATTTCATCGGGCCCAACTCACTGCACCTTTCAGTGAGGAGTGGCGATGCTGTTCAGAGAGAGGACGCAACCCTGGGTGCTTCCCTCATTCCATCCAACTGCTGTTCCTTCCTTGCACAGATGAGACAGAGATCAGTGCCCACACACAGCCCTGCTGCCCGCAAAGTTCTCCAATCCCTTTTTATACCAGTTTCATCACCTCCATGTCCTCAAGGTGCCATATAAGTAAATGCCATCCCCAAATACTAACAGGAGCCGGTCCCCAGGGGGCGAGTATTCCCAGGTGCTCAAGCTGCTGCATCCTGCCCTTCCCCAGCAGCCACTCTAAAGCCACCCTCTGTCCTCCCCCATTGGCTTTGTCCCCTTCAGAGCAATGGAGGTGGACTCATCCCCACAACCCAGTGCTTCATTGTGTGGCCCCACGCTTCCTCATGGCACTGATGCTCCCGTTCACATTGCGGGGAGGCCAGCGGCTCTTTAAATCATTACTTGTTGGGATTTGCTTCCCTCACAGCCTCCTCTGTAGCTGGTAATTCATTTGAGCTGCTTTTTAGCAGCAGAGCCTCTCGCTTCGACGGGTGCAGGGTCTTATAGGAAGCTTTCTATTAAAAATTCATCGCAAACTCTGTCTCAGGAGCACAGTGCTCAGTAGGGCCATGCGGGTGTCTGGATCTGTTTTGTAGGGAAGGGATGGGGATCTGAGAGCAGCATGCAGGGAGGGAGCGTGCTATTCATTCATAAATCAAACAGCAGATGCTTGATCCAATGGGGTGTGCGATGGTGACAGTTTTAACCCCTGAGTGTCACTGACAAAACGGGTTTCTCTCGAGGCAATTACGGGTGCTGCAACTGGAGGATCCTGCAGGAGGGAAGCTGCGGTGCTCGGGGGAAGAAATAGGGGGAAACTGTGGGGAGAAAAGGCAGCGTCTGCCCCAGACAGAACTCACTGTGAGGGCTGGGACCAGCTGTGTGCCCCGTCCTGCTGATGGCTCCAGGGGGCTGCACCAGGCTCTGCCACATGGCCACTGTGCCTTGGGGGCAGTGGGTACCCAATGCCTGCAGCAACCGCTGCCACAGCAACAGCTGTCACCAAAACCTGAGTGGGGACATCCATTAACCCCATCACACCTCGCTGTCTGCACCAGCAGCCTTGGACTGGGCAGGATCCTCACACGGAGAAGCTGGAGGAGGAGGAAGGCAATGGTGGGAGTTTTGGGCCAAAATGCCATCACTTGGGAAATCCAATGTGAAATTCAATGTGAAATTCAATGTGAAATTCCCTCCACGCTGCCTGGGGAGGGTTTTGGTCATTGCTGTGCACTGTGCTGCAGGGTGCAGCCTCAGCAACGCTGCTGCTGTTGGCACAGAGCATGCAATGAGAGCCAGGATGCACTTCTCCCCTTGCACCGTCCTGCAGGCGCCGCGTGCAGCATCAACACCCACACCCCCATGCACACCCTGACAGGATGGGCTGTGATGCACAGAGGAGCACGAGGGCCATTGACGTGAATCCTGTGGTTCTGAAGTCATGAAAGTACCGTTCTACATTGTTCAGAACCACGATTCTCTTCTCCCCACAATGGCAGCAATGAAGAGCGCGTCCGGGGTGCTCATCCTCGGTGCTATTGATAGTGCATGGCAGAGCCTTGTGAGCATGGGTCCCATCTGCCACTTCCACTCCTTCTTTAAAAGATCCTAATGACTGTCAGATCCTTTTAGTTCTTAATTAATTTCAGAGTTCAACTGCAAATAGGAAACAAGACAGCTTTTGCCCTTACGCATATGAATATTACTGTTCCATTTAATGTGGTTACTGGTGGAATGCTGTTATTCATTCCTGCCTGCAATAAAAGCCACATGTTTTTAAAACTTTGCACTTGAAAAAAACTTTAGGAAAGAAATCAAGTATGTTTTGTATGCATGGCATGAGATAAAAACTGGTCATAAATATTCAAAGAACAGTCAGAGCTTTATGCTTGATTTAAACAAGTGAACAGAGAAGCGCGATGGTTGAAGTGGAGAATGAAAGCCTGATGTTCCTTTAAGAATGTGCTTATGCAGAGAAAAGGATCCATTCATGCAAAGGTTACGGAGCACCTGAGGACATCCCATCTCCAAAAACGCCCCAAGGTGGGTAACAACTGGAAGCACAGGGCTTCATTCAGAGCTATTGGAGTCTCTGGGGGGGGGTCTTGTTTGTTTTGGAGGGGTTTTGAGGGATGCGACCCTATGGGGATGGAGGACATGTCTCACCCGTTCCCAACCAGAGGAACCATGGGATGGATGCACTGCCTGGAGCCCTTCATAACCTCACAGCACGACGGGGAGAAATAAAAAAAATTCCAAAGGAAAGAAAAAGGGGAAACGTCTGGATGGTGGAAAGCGGAACCGAAAGGCACATGACGGCGAGAAAAGTACGGCGGGGCCGATGCAAAAGAAAAAAGCACAGTGTGATTTGTGAGCTCGAGGAGAGCGGCTGTCACGGAAGGGCAGCACCCTCTCCCTGTGCTGAGCGTGCAGCGGTGTTTCCCTACACGCATTTCCCAATGCTGCTGTGATGTTGGGCATCAGACGGGCGTGCGGTGCTCCCCCCGGGCTGCTGGGGAAGTTGGATGTGAGCGGAGAGAAAGCGGCCGCTGGGAAGTGCTCACGTTCCCCACTCTCACCTACATCCCCACTGCAGGCCGTGCTGTTGCTGTCTTGG